TTTTTTTTTTTCCTTTTAAGAGTGAACTTTTTAATTGTTGCCCCGGTGCTGTTTTTTTTTTTTTTTTTTTTTCCTTTTAAGAGTGAACTTTTTAATTGTTGCCCCGGTGCTGTTTTTTTTTTTTTTTTTTTTTTTTTTTTTTGCTACCTTTTCTAAATTTGGGTTGAGCAGAACTGAGCAATGAGCTGCTACAAAGTGCATCAGTTCCCAGCAGATCCCAGCAGAAGTTGCTGTAGCAGTCTGAAGTTGCCACAAGCCAGATATTTCCGTCTCTGTAATTCATCTCTGTGCTTGTCGTCCTCCTCCTCCCATTGAATGGCTGTGGTTTGTGGTGGGAAAATATCCCCAGTTCTTCAGCGTCCCCATATATGTGTGTGTGTGTGTGTGTGTGTGTGTGTGTGTGTGTGTGTGTGTGTGTGTGTGTGTGTGTGTAAATTGCCCGTAGTGTTGTATTTTTGGGTGTTGGTGGTTGTCAAACCCCGGCACTCTGTTGGCACCAGCACTTCTGAAGCCGTCTGTTCTGTTTTCTCACAACGAGAAAACAAAGATGCCAAGTTCAGATTTTAAAAAAACAAACATAAGCAACTCAAGTTGACAAGATTTTTAACCTCAGAAATGCATCGTAAATATGTTTATTGTGAACGTGTTGCAGTTTTCATGAAGTGTGCACGTTTTTTGGGCCGTCTGCGAATAATAAATCTGAATAGCTTCGCTAGCCAACGTGAACAGACCACACAGCAGTGAAAACAAAGGCGGCCCTCCTGCGGTGTGGTGACTGAAAACTTTCCGCGCACAAAAACGAGAGCGGCTGTCGTGTGATTAACATTAAATAAGATTCTCTTCTCCTCCAGACGTGGCTGGCTTTGGCCAGCGCATTTTTAATTTCCTGCAGAGCCTCTTATTATGTCAGTGACAGTCCGCTCACTAACCCCATGTTTTGCTTGTTTTGTGCAGACAGGAAACCAGCACATTTACCAGCCTGTTGGCAAATCAGGTAACGGGAACGCTTCTTTAATTCACCTAACCACTATTGTTCAGCTCTCTTGTCTCACCTCCAACAGTGTGTAGCCTCTGATATACAGCTTTTGCCATTCCTCCCTTTTCCTATTCTGGTCCTGCACAGAAATGACACAGGGTGGCTCAATACAAGTGGATACCACAGCTTATGTTTTACTTGTAGAAATCTTTGAAAACTATTTATTATTTCTCCACCACTTCACAGTTATAAACTGCTTTGTATTGTCCATCACATCAAAACGTAACATGTTGATGTTTGTTGTTGTGAAATGACATATTGCAGTAAGGGTTTGAGGGTCTGAATACTTTTGCACGACTCTGCGTTATCACACAGTTTTGTAACTTCAGTAGCACAGATCTGAAAGCTTTGCTTCAAAATAGTTTCACAGCAGAGTGATAATTCCCCTTTTTTTGTCACCACATGTAGATTTGTCCTTAAACTTCTGAGTAACTTTATTTTGTTTTGGTGGGTTTTTTTTTGTTTTTTTTTTTTTTTTTTTTGTTTTTTTTTGCAGACCATGTGGTTCCCCCCAAAAAACCTCCTCGACCGGGGGCCCAGAGCCAAGTGGGTAGTCTGGCTTGTCTAAACACTGTAGACAGCTACAACGATGGTGTCAAGGTGCAGAAATAATAACCATAAGAGCATGCGATCTCTACTCTTGTATGACTGCAGCAGCATGCACATATGCAAGATTTAAATATACACATTGCATGTTTTTAATGCTGAAAACTGTTAATATTTTCCTTTTTTTTTATCTTATTATCTTTGGCTGCTCCGTCTCTCCCTTCCTTCTCCTCCTTACTGTTGACCCCTAGCCCTGGCGGGTAAGCTGCACACTGTCTGTGTTTACTGTACATCTCGTCTCACTTCTCTCACATTCTGTACTATTAACTAATAACACGTGCATTCCATTACTTGCTGTGTGTGTGTGTGTGTGTAGTGTAGTCGAGTTTTAGTTGTTTTCCCTCCAAACTAACTTTCACTTTTGTGGATTTAACCTAACAAACCTCTGGTTTAAAACACTTCTGTAAGAAATTTACTTTCGCTGACAAAAATCTCATTTTTCTTTGTCTTTGGAACCTTTTTAGTTGCCAATTAATATTAGTTTTTTTCTTGTTTTATTGGATGAGTCAGAAAGGTTGGCAGTTTGACCCAAACTACTTCCACTTTTTACCCATTTAAAAAAAAAAAATTAATGCCCACTTATTGAACCATTACATTTTAGTTTGTCTCTTGGTTGTTTCATATTTTGATTAGTTCTTGTGCTTCACGAAGATTACGATTGCTATTCATATTAGCTATCGTGGTATTACTGAGTATTTGCTTGAAGCAAATAATTTATCTTTTTTTTGTGACAAGGCTGCATTTCCTCACAGCAGACTGTCAATAACAAAAAAGACTTTAAACATTCAGTTGTAAAACACTGAAAACACATTTATGAAGAGCGAAAAAACAGTCTGACAAAATAATGTGAAACAAATGCAAGAGCTGCAATACGAGTGTCTGCACTGACACAGTGTGACTCGGTATGAAACGTATGGAAATAACGTCTCCATTTTTATTAAATGCTTGTATTAGCAGGTTGCCAAATACAATAGATGAACTGCATTATCAGCGCATTGGAATAAGTTTTTAAGACTGTAGATTTGGTTCATCATACAGACCTGATGTGACAGCGCCATCTAGTGGCAGAGACAGGGAGCTGTGTATAAAAACATTCAGTATATCTCCTTTAAAATCCTTCTGCATCTCAAACTTGCTTTTAAGTTTAGCAGACAGAGACTGTATGTCCTAGATGGCAAAGTTTGATAACTGTGAATAAATTTCACATTGATTAATTGACATGCTTTAACTTTGATTTTAACATGTTACCCTGCATTACATTAGTTTTTGACTTACTAACTAAATGCATCTTCAAACTACAAAGGCAGTTTCACTGCCTGTTTGGTTTTTAGAAAACTTTAAATTCAGGTTCAACTGTGGTTCGTAAAGTGAGTCTAAAATGCCAGACTAAGCACTAAGATTGCTTTGGAGTCGTTGCAAAAGGAAATAAAGGTACCGCTGTTCTCAAAATGCCCTTTAGTAAGAATCTCCATATATGATTCTCCACTCCTCCTTGACAGGCCTAGTGGTTCCACAAATATAACTGGGCACTGTTAGTCCAATAAAATCTGTGAAAATGTCATTCACAGTTTCTAAAACAGGTTCAGAGTTAATACTATGTATTAAAATATCCAGAACACTGTTTAAAAAGATCAGAAAGACATAAATAATTTGAAGCGTTTTAGTGTGTTTTTGTATAATTTCATTCCTCTTCTTCATATTTCATCTTTCAGTGAGGCGACCGCTCATTGTTTCGTTTGTTTTTTTTTTGTTTTTTACCTTGCTCTTGTTTAGCTGCAGCCTCAGGAGATAAGCCCACCCCCGACCGCCAATCTGGACCGCTCCAATGACAAAGTGTATGAGAACGTGACGGGATTGGTCAAAGCTGTGATTGAGATGTCGAGCAAGATTCAGCCGGCTCCTCCAGAGGAATACGTCCCGATGGTTAAGGTGACGGAGCCGCAACCCACCTGTTTCACTTTCTAATAGATTTCTGATTCACTTCCTCCATAAAAGCCCATTAGTTCCTACACATCTACATTTTGGTAAACCCTTCAATTAATGTTTTCAGTATAGCCCTAACGAGTCTTCAAATCTGTTTTCAGGATGTGGGCCTGGCCCTGAGGACGTTACTGGCCACAGTCGATGAGACTCTACCTCAACTTCCAGCCAGCACACACAGAGAGGTGGAAACGCCAGCTGCACTTTCACTGACAGACTGAAAACGTGACCTGCGTCAGACGGTTTAATGCTCTGTGCCTTTAACAGATCGAGATGGCCCAGAAGCTGTTGAACTCTGACCTGGCAGAGCTGATTGGAAAGATGAAGTTAGCCCAACAATATGTGATGACAAGGTAACGCCAGCATAGCATTAATTAATTGAAAGGAGAAGGAAACATCAAAACCGATTTCCTTTTGGCAGAGAAGTGCAGTGTGGATTCTTGGCACAGTTTATTGTCCTATTCTCTACAAGTTGCAGTACTTTAATGAGTTATTAAATTAATTCTATGAACTGTAGTGAAAATCTACATCGGGTTCAAACTTTTGTGGCAAATACTTTTGTTTTATGTAATTGAAGCTGGTGGTATGATTCTTCCCCTCTAGATGAAGAACAGCTGAAATCTGTCCAGAATTTCTGACTTTTATGCCGATGAGGCAACATTGCTTTTCTCCATGTAGACTAAATTATCTGGCAACACATTATCATTAATATTATCATGGATTTCCACCAATAAAAACTCTTTTTTCTTTGTTTTGTATTTCATCTTAGTCTCCAGCAAGACTACAAGAAGCAGATGCTGACAGCGGCTCACGCTCTCGCCGTCGACGCCAAGAACCTCTTGGACGTCATCGACCAGTCGCGGCTGAGGATGATGGCCCACTCCCGCCCTCACTAGCCCCCTCTACAGGAGACCGAGCGCCTCTATGGTTTCTGTTGGAGAACTGGAGACTCGTGGATACCTTGTGTGTGTCAGTCCTCAGAGCAAACGGCAGCGGTGGCAGCCGGAGTGGACAATGGCTGCACTCTGGTTCAATCACTTTCCTCAGTCCTACTTTAACCACTGTGACTTTATTTAACAAAAGATCAGAGCAGAAACACTTCCTGAATCAGAGACTTGGCTTCTCCCCTGGGAGAGAAGGTGACCCAAGTTGATTTTTAAGCTGGATGTGAAGGTTTATAAAAGCTTACAACGGTATCAAAACACTATCATGGGAGAGATTTTTAAGCTTGAGCTGCTGTCATCAGGGGGAAGGGCTGGTTGGACTGTGATTAATCTGAAACATATCTCTGTGAAACCAAACAGAGGGAGTGGACTTCAGCCAGCAGCCGTCTGTGAGCGTTTTGTTGAAGTCAGTCGGAAGTTTTCAGCCTCGGTTTTGAACTTTCCAATCGGCGAAAACAGAAAGCTGGCAGATAAGACCTCAGAGATATTTTCTGCTCTGATTCGGTCCCAGATGTTGCTTTCTACGGACGTTTTCAACAAGAGAGAGACGGGGTTTGCTCTGGAACAGCAGCCTGCCGTCTTCTCCTGTGTTTCCTCTGTCTCACCAGCTTTTATTTATAAACTCAAATTACAGAGGAGACAGAGGGAGGAACAGGAATTCACCATTCAGGACTTTCTGGAGAAACGGCACACTGTCCTCTTCCTTCGCCTCTGTTTGACTGACTCTTTGCTTCTCACCGGTCTTCCTCCGCTCATCTCTGAGCTGGTTTTAAAGACTCCAAATGTGAAGAATTCAAACCTGTCTGGGTGACACGCCACCACTTCCAGGACACTGTCAGCTTCCCTGTTTATTCTATTCTATTCTTTCCTTTTCGTTGGCTGGCTGGCTCCATGGTTTTACATGTTGTTTTTGAAGCAGTGACGTTCTTCTTCCTGTAACTTCAATCCCAGGAAAGAGGGATGAGCAGAAACGGTGAAATAAGTTAGACTTAACCTATTTATGTAAGTAAGGCATCTACTCCTCTTTACTCCCTCCTGATATTTACTCCCACTACAGCTGTTCCTCACGGGAAAACCCGCGTAAACACCGTCGTGTTTCCGATCACCCTCTCAGCGGCACCAAACCTGCACTTTGCTGGGCCAAAACCAAACCAACACCCAGAACCTTTGTGAGTCCCTTGTTTCTGTCAGGTGCAACACTTTAAAAATGCCCCTCCTGGCAACGGTCTCACAGGTAAACAAATATAACCGCGAGAAAATGCGGACCGGAAACTTGTTGCGCTGATCACCTGCAGCGTGACGACAGGAAACATCTTGGCCACCGTACTGGTGTAGCATGATATACTGGTAAGGAGAAGAGCATATTTGCACAGCACCTAAAAGAAAAAAAAATAAACACTTGTTTTGATGGATTTAATCCAAATAAACTCAAATGTTCGTCTCATGTTCAACCAGCAATGAAAGGAGATCGAACATTTGAGTCCGACGTGGATTAAAATATTTCAGAACATACGCATATGGCAAAAGGAAAAAAAAAAAAAGAATCATCAGAAACTATTTTATCTCAGTGTTGTTGCGTAATTCTGCTCATGTTGGTATATTGTAAGCTATACTGGTGTGTATCACTGATGAATTGTACAGAACCCGTAATGGTAAACACTGGTTTTTATTTTGTCTTCTTGGCTGAATCTGCCATCTTGTTAAATAGGAGGGAAAATAAAATAATGTTGAGATGAAAACTGGTTGGATTTTGCTGTCAGTGGTCTGATTTTATTTTATTTTTTTTTATTTCATTCAGTTGCAACAATTAGTGTTTTTTTGCCACATTCCCATTTTAATGAATGTCTCTCATAAATAAGGAATGAAGGATGATCCACACTAATTTTACAGCTGTACTTGTAATAAATCTTAGAATATATACACATAAAATAAATCTTTATAGATTTACAGTATTTACATGATTTATTTATTTTTTTTTTTTTTTAGGCTGGCCTCAGTGCGTTAGCAGCAGCAAAACGCCTCCAGTTAGAAGCAGCAGCAGCGCCGCGTGTGAGTGAACAGAGTCCGCCGTGCTCCGGTTGCACATGTCGTAGCTGCAGCAGTTGACGGTGTTTCCGTTTCCGTCTGCGTCCACCGAGGCGGTGGAGGCCGCCCCCTTGCATGTGGAGCTGCTGGCGCACTGCTTCACGATGGCTTTCATGTTACCTGAACACAAATTTCACTTTATTTTACTGGGATTTTTTGTGATGGGTCAATGCAAAGTAGTAAGCAAAGTATGTTTTTTTGGTTTTATCTCCTTTTTTGTAATACTACAAAAACAAAAGTAATAGCAACTCACCACATTCAGAATATACCTAACAAAAATTGTCCAATTCAGTTCAAATATATCTCATTTAAACCCAGCTGTTCTGTGAATACCCTTAGAGATTTATTAGAAAAGATTAGTGAACTAAGGTCGTCATGAAGACCAATGAACACAACAGAAATGTAGAAGTTTAAAGCTGGGATGGTTTATAAAACAAACTTTGAAGACCTCACAAAGCTTTGTTTAGTTCATCTGAAGATGGAGAGATTGTGGCACAACTGTCAAGACCACTGAGATCAACCTAAACCGACCAGCTGGGCAAAACGGCCACATCTCGGGTGGGAAAATCCTCGATTATCGATGAGGCATTCACCCAGAAAATGTGCCTCAACCCAAAGTGGGGACATGGCAAATGGTAAGATCAAAACTTAACACCGCACATTACATCCAGGGGTCAAAATCAAGGGTTCCAGTTGAAATGTGGACCCATATAAGAATTTGTTGACGTCAAAGTCAAGCCCTACTTTAAATTTTTTTCAAAATGTGTTGAAATTTTAGGTCTGTGACGTGGTGGGGGACAGAAAGTTCAAAGGGTTTGACTAGTTTAGCGAGGCACTGTAAAGGTGTGTTTATTATTACCCAAAGTGTCCACGATGGTCATGCAGGTGTCGAGCGGCTGCTGACACTTCTGCCTGTTCTGGTTGCATTCTTCATTGGTGGTGGTGGAGCCGCACACGTAGCACTGCAGAGACGTTGCTGGACAGAAACCAGAGATAAAGCCAGATTAATGATGGAATAATATTCCAGGAATGGTGAAAAGCATCACAAGAAACAAAATGGAGATTTTCCATCCATCCATCCATTTTCTGGACACCCTTGTCCCTTAGTGGGGTCGGGAGGGGTGCTGGTGCCTATCTCCAGCTAACGTTCCGGGCGAGAGGCGGGGTACATCCTGGACAGGTCGCCAGTCTGTCGCAGGGCAACACAGAGACACACAACCATGCGCACACACACACTCACACCTAGGGCCAATTTTAGACAGACCAATTAACCTAACAGTCATGTTTTTTGGACTGTGGGAGGAAACCGGAGTACCCGGAGAAAACCCACGCATGCACAGGGAGAACATGCAAACTCCATGCAGAAAGACCGGGGCCGGGAGGAGATTTTCATTTATTTATTTATTTTTTTTTTTTTCATTTCATATCATTTCAGTATTCAACAAAAGGAAAGGGTAAAGTAATTCCCCACTTTTTCTGTCCTGTATCTGCAAATCTTGGTTTCTGTTTTCTAGATGAAAGTCTTCTTGACCCCAGGTTTGATATTTAAACAAGAAAGAAAGTTCCTTGAAAACATTGACAGCAATGCTGAAACTGGTGAGGCCAGCTGGTTTAATACGCAATTTCGGTTTTGTTTGTAGTCCTGCTCGCCTTGAGAGTTATCAGATTGAAGTATTGCTCTGAGCATTTAATCCTAATGTTTAAACAAAACTGTTTCAAACTGGAGTTATGTCCTCTTGAACAAGTGAGAAGTTAAATTCTGAATCTAATGACTGGACAATAAAGAATTGCATGTGAAGTTTGGACATTTCACATGCGATCCATTCACTGTGTCTAGTTTGACAGCTCTCCTCCCAGCTGTCAGACCTGATTATGTAAAAAGCTGTAAACAAATCCTGAGTCATCCTTCATTCCTTAATGCTTTGTTTCCAAGAAGTCAGTCTTGCCTCAAGTTATTTAAAGTGACTTTGTTCAATAGTTCCTCTGGTTTCCTCAAGGTCTTTCCAACTTTTTTCAATGGCTGAATTTATTTTTTTGTATCAATTTTCCACAGATGAACTTTATCTGCCTTTAAAAACAGCTTGGTTCTGTCCACAGCAGAATAAATTGATCAAAAGTTGCATCCTTAAGTAAAGACACATGAAGTAACACACTGTGGAATTCAATGTAGGCATTTTTCAGGTCTTAAAAAGCATGAAAAACATTAATAATGCTACATTACTTGAATTTACAGACTTTGTCCCACCTACATCCTGATTTCCATTATTCCTTCAGTTTTACTTTCATCCACCCAAAGTAAATGTGAACGGAAAATGCCACAAGCTCTTGAATAATGCACCAGTTCTGCTTTCCTCGTTTGCTAATAGCGGTTTTCAGTGTGGTTCACTGGAATGCTACAGCCTTGAATATGTTATTATAACACTTTGCAGGCTGATAGATGTCAGTGACTTTACTTCTGATGTTGTTGTTATTAGATTTCTGGGCATGATGTGCTTCTGTTTGAGGTATTTTAGCCTGTTTCAAGCTAGCTGCCAGCTAGTATGAAGCAGCTCCATGCTTTCCTATGTACTAATTCTAATTTAATTTTTTTAATTTAATACTAATTTCCTATGTATTAATTAGCCAATTAATGTAGCCAATTCGGTACATTAATTAGCCAATTAAAGTAGCTAGGAAAATTTTACCTAAAATTGTGGTTAATCACATGAAGTTACCAGGGCAGCAGTTATTCCTTTACAAAGAGTGGGCTTGATTTGCAGGGGTTTTTTTCTTTTTAATAAATGAATACTAATTTGAAAACTACACTTTCTTTTTTTTCTGTTTATCAGATATGGGAACAGGTTTGATCTGAAACAAGGAAGTGTGTGTGGCGGGGAAGCAAAAGCAGAACAAATGTATAAGAATATTTCAAATTACAAGAATATTTGAACACCTTGTTTTCTCATGACAGACATTGAACAGCATGTTGTGGAAAACTGACACCAGGAAAGATCCAAAATAAACTGTGAAGCTTAAGGCCTACCAAGGCAAAAACAATGACAGAAATGTCAGGTGAGATCATTTTGTTTTTTGTTTTTTTTTTTACTTTCAAATCACCAGATGAAGAGACTTTTCCTTAAATCAATCCAATCCAAGTAACAAATTATGGAAAGTCTCAGTAAAAAAAAGTCCAGAATGCTGGTAGCTACTCTATACCTGCATTCTACAGTAAGTTCTGTGCATCAAATGTTACAGTCGTCTTTGAGGATTATTTCTCATTCCTGCTCATGAACTACTCGTCTTAACCTATTTTCACTTTGTGCATAATGATTATTCAGAGACATACCTGGAGAGAAGAGGAAGAAGAGAATCACAAAACTAAGTAACATCTTCCGATGTTAAAGTTTGCAGTCTGCGGTCAAACGTGTTGTGTTCAGCTCCTTGTGTTTGTGTCGTTTCAGGTGTTTGCTTTAAAACAAGCAGCTGAAGCAGATCCTCCCACTCCAGCCACCATGGTGGCATCAAGCCAAAGGTTGCCTCATTGTGAAGGACATTCCTTGAAGTTGGTTGTGGTTTCATAGATACTTGCCTTTTATTCACCGGCTGCCAGTCACATATGGGGATTATTGTTGTCGTCTAACTTTAATTTCTGCAATTCAAGAACACCTAAGGGTAAATATTCAAATCAGAAGTGAAAACCTTTGGCATTATTTGACGGTAACTTTTCAATGACTTGAATTATTAAGCCATTGAGATTTAACAGCTCTTGTGATTATGTCGCCCTTTTAGCAGGCTCGTCTCTCATTCAGGTCTCCTGTTTATTTTCCAGATGAGCGGTTGCAGTCGCCGTACTGCAGACGTGTGCACAACACACTTTTCAAGAATTTACCAAGAAACGGTGTCCTGGAGCGGAGTGTCAAAGCGATGCCATGCAGATATTCATTTGTTTTACATGTAAACAAACCAAGAAACCAGTCGGACAATTTCCTGCCTTCCCACACAGACGTGCACATTCCCTCTCATTCTGTTCCATCCATCCATTACATAATCAGGCCCAGAGGTTCTTGTTCCTCTGTAACTTTTCCCCAAACTGAGGAAAACAACAAACAATTAAATTCAGCTAAAGCAAACAAGCTCAAACTTTAACATATTTTATTGGAATTTTACGTGACAATAACACAAATGCAAGTGCTTACTCATCAAGAAAGGAAACGATGACAAATGATACCTTGTTCTGTCTAAACTTTGAAGAGTCCAGAGTGGGTCAGTTTATGAGATTACTATTTAAAACCAAAGGTGATTGTTTCAATAATACTTGATGTGTTACAACACCACCACAGCAAAATTCAAGAACTCTACAGGAGGTGAACCGATGCCACTGATGGAGCTGGAGGGAAACAAAAGATAAAACCTCTCTACATGACTGTGTTCACTCTTTTCAGCAGTAAAATGGAAGTTTAACTAAAAAAACCAAAAGCATCAGCTCTGCAAATGCAGACGTGGAGAGCCAGAAGCAAAAACCGCAGGTCTCAGATCAGTCTGTCACCGCCAGGTGGAGGTTTCCTTTCTTGTTCCCGTCTCTGAGGTCGATCGGTCCCAGCTGAACGGAGATAGATGGGCCGCCTGCGGTGTTGTCCACTGGCTCTTCAACGTGTCCGCTTGTCCTTCTCATTCACTGCGTCTTCACTTTCTTGGAAACACTCTCTCTTCTTTTAGGAACTGAAGAGTAACGTCTGGTGAAAATGACACAGGCCAGCGGGAAATCATTACACAATAATCCATTCTCATGGAGTACAATTAAAAAATATATATCTTTCATCATATGTGGTTTTAGTTCCTGGTTCTTCCACAGTTTGCTCTCTGTGTTTGTGCTGAACCACGTCAGGGTTACCTTCGCTGGAAGAGGTACAGGAGGAAGAGGAGCTCGTCTCTGAAGCAGGACAGCTGATGCGAGGAGGTGAAAGGAACGGATGAGGAGAAGAAGGAAGCGCAGGCGCACAGATCTGAAATCAGTGTGTTCACCCCCTGGTGAGGAAAGCAGATTATTTATAGCTTTTGAAAAGTTGAATTTCAAAGGTGCATCATTCTGGCCTTTGTAGCCAGCATGTTTTAGTAATAGGAAATGAAGGAGGTGCTCACTCTGTACATCAACACTGCCCCCTGCAGGTGGCTCACAGACTTCAACTGTTAGACAGCCAAAAAAAAAAAAAAACATGTTAGTCTTCACTTTATTACAGTAATTTTACAGTACCTTGCTGAAGTATTCATACCTCTTGATTTTTTTTTCACTTTCTACAATGTTACGACCACAGACTTTGGTGTATTTTCCTGGAATTATTTCTGACAACCGCAACGAGAGCAAAGCATGCTCTTCGCTCTGGCCGGCTGAATACAAATCCATACTTTTAATAGTTATTTTTCCTTCTACTTATTAAGTTGAGGGTTTAGTCACATAAAACCCCAAGAAAACAAGTTTGAGGTTGTAAAGCGATAAGAAATTCAAGAAGTCTGAATTCTTATGCAAAGTGCTGCAAAACTTGCAGTTCTTTGCATAAATTGATTTAAATTGTGAATCATTTAGTCACAATTGTGCTGCATGATTTCTGCTAACGAGGAAATTGAAAATGCGACTTTGGTTGATTCTGGTTTATCAGACCTTGTCGTTGATGAAGAGCTGAGGAGCCATAGATAAGAAGCCAAGCGCATACACACCTGGGGGAAATACAGACACATAAGGTATGATCCTCACAACACATCCGATGCATAATACGACGTGCATCTAGAAAACATGTTAGACATAAAAATCTGACTTGGAGGAGCCAGTCTGTGGACAAACGTAAAGAAACTCACCAGTGACCAGGGTGTTGACCAGCCAGGAATAGTAGCTGTCAACATAACACCACAGTCAATACAATGAGCACTCATTGTTCCTCAGACTTGTACAACAAATGTAGTCTGTTTGCTAAAACAAACTTATCACCAATTTTCCAATTCAGATTTTAAAATCTGAATTGGAAAATTGGTAATAATTGGCAATAAGTTTGCTTCGTCGTTTGCTTCTAAATTTGCTTCGCCGCTGAACAAAAGAGCCCGAAGGAAAGAAATCTATGTGAGAGCTGGAATGACGCATGTTTTCTGATAAGAGGCCTCATGCTTATGAATCCAAGCAGACAGGTGAATCTCTGAATGAGCTCACTTCTTTTGGCATATGTAGCCCAGAGAGAAAATGGCTCCGCTGATGCACAGAGGATACACCAAGTAGGACAAGTATCTGGAGGCCTGCAGGGGAAATAGCACAAAGCACTGAAATCAAACAGAGCTTGAGGCACATCATTAACTCTGAGCTCAGAGAGACTATTTAAATCACCTGCATGTCGTACTCCACCGTCTTTCGCTCCTCTTCATCCAGCTTGTTTGTCTGCGATAAGATAAGAGAGGCGGCTTGGAGCTTTCAAAGGCTCAAAACATTTAAATGTGAAATATTACTTAGCTAAAACGGCACGCTTACATAAAACCGCCTGCTTAGCTGGATCTTAAACACTTTAAACACCTTCCACACCTGGTGGGATGAAGGATTATTGAGTTCAGGATGCTTTACTTTGATTTAGCCATTTTTAGTTTGAAGGAACCGGTCATGGCGAGTACCTCTACACACGCTCCCAGTCCGACAGGAAGGAGCACCAGCAGGCTGGTCTCCTCCAACAGGTGGAGGAAAATCAGCAAAGTGCCGAGACAGCGCCACAAAACTGGAAATGGAACAGAGGAAACGATGCAGTGGTTCAGTTACAGCCGATGTTTGGTCAGAGGAATGTTTCTAATATGGACAAGAAGACAAAAATGACCTGACTTCCTCGACATTCCCACCATGCTCTTCTTTTTCGCCCAGGAGCATACATCATTTTTCAGAGCCAGAAATTCACAAATGAGCTGCAAATTAGAAAGTTATTGCGGTTAATTAGAACAGGCATACTTTTGGCTGTTACATTTATTTAGAATATGTAAGAGTTAAAATACTAGTCCTCAGACGTATCTGTCAATGCCTTTCAAAAATATTTATTCCTCTGAAACATTTTCTCTTTTTGTCATATTTACTACCACACACCTTGATGTATTTTATTGGGATTTCATGCAGTAGGTCAAGAAAAAGTCAGAGAAATGTGAAGTTGAAGGAAAGTAAATATTTTTTCCAGTAATTCTCAACACTGTGATGTTGATTTGTAGAACAAGTCACAAGCAAACTAATCTGATGCTGAATACAAATGCCTGCCACACTTTTCAGATTTTGCTTAGTGAAAGATTTTGGAAATTTCTCGGCTTCTCAGTCACACACTACGTTGTGTTGGTCCATCATCTAAAATCACAGTAACAATAAAGCTGAGTTTACTGTAACGGGATTTAATTTGAACAAGCTCAAAGTGCATGAAGCATTCTATCAAAGGCATTCTTCTGCACTTATGTTGTGTGCTCTTACTTGTAGAGATGTGATGAGTGCAGTCAGCACTAGCAGGTAAAGGTTGGATCCTATCAAAGTCTCTTTAATCTCATCAATATTCTCCTCGGTGAAACCTGTCGAGAAATGCCGAGCAATTTATTACACATGAAATGATTTTCAGCTGCATCAACAGCCTCATTTCATATCTTAGGAAAACACGACGTGCACCCCGGCTCACCAAACTGTCGGAGGGAATAAACTATGTCATGCAGGTGGATCCAAAACCTGAACGTCCTCAGAGAGATTCCTTCATAGGACACAGTTAGAGGGAGCTGCACACTGCTGCTGTTGATCTCCTGAACATGAACAAGGGTGTGGAATCGGATCAAACACCAACATGTTTGATCCTATAAGAACCTGTGTGGGTCGCCGTCCTACCATGAGGTCTTTGACTCTGCAGCTGAGCTCATTGACCAGCAGCAGAGGCAGATACGTCGTCCGTCTGCCCTCCTGGGAACTGCGAGCAGAGAAGAGAAAGAAGGAAGGTTCTAAGAAAGTGTGAAAGACTCGAAATACTTTACATATGAGCTGAAAAAGTACTTGGGTTAGTATGTTCTATTTCTTCAACAACAAAAATTATTAGAGTTATGGATCTATGTCTTTGCTAATTCTAGGATTTCTGTATATTTCTGCGGACGTCTTGTTATTGGTTGTTAAGAATTAGCTTTAATGTTTCATTGCCTGTTCTTTCATCCCTGGTTGCCATTTTTTAATCAAATTGTTTCCCTAAAGTCCTTTACTTCACTTGTTCTTTTGCAGCTTAGCTTGTGAATTTTGTTTTGTTTCTCTAAACAACAAATACATTTTCATGTCACCTGTCTTTCTGGATGTTTGTGCCTAAATGAAATCTCGAAATACAGTTATGCTCCTTCCATCCAATAAATGATGGCTATGTGCTTCTTTAAGACCTATTGGCTTCCAGGGCTGAATGAAAACTCCAATGTTCATGATTTATTTATTAACAGGAGAAGCTTCATTTCTGATGCCCCGGTTTTTCCATCGCTGCAGTAACCAGCATGTGCGGCAGCAGTGAATCCTGCTCACTTACATCCTCATGTATCGTCGCACATCACTGGGAAGCCCCGCCTTGCTGAAGCTGAACTCCTCTGACATCACAGTGATGGACAGGTGCGGTCTCCAGTGCGACACAGGCCTTTGAGGTTCACGCTTCTGGTGGAAATACAAAGATATCTGATTTCTGGCAAAGCCACGGTGACATACGGTTGAACTGGGACACGGTATTGGACACCATCACCAGGAGGTACCTTCTGGCCTTTTGTGCGTGGAGGAGTGATGTATGTGGTGAGATGAGCAGCGTAGTGGACTTCTCTCCGGTCCTCCAGGGGTGAAATACCAGCTTTGTGAACATAAACAACTGCGTACAGAGAGCCATTATTCTGAGTCTCCTCTGGCAGAGAGACGCTCACCTGTCTGGAGAAACATTGAGACATCCTGCTGTTTGTGGGATATAGATCCTTTTTAAATAATAATTTAAAAAAAACATGATTTTGTATACAAAGTTCAAAAATGATGGGTTAACGTATTTACACCCCTTGAAAATTTTCATCTCTTGAGCTAGTGTCTTTCATTTTGATCTTATTTATATGATAGGAACTGAAAGAAAGTAGAATGTTTTTGTTTTTTCACTAAGAAAATCCTCTGTTCTGCAGTATGAATTTATAATGAGCCCCTTTTACTGTGATAACCCAAAATAAAAACCCAGTGTAACCAATGAGACTGACAGGCTGGCTGTTAAAAGGCTCAAAAAGGGGGTTCAATAAAAATATTAGCACAAAGCTGAAAAAATTTTAAGATTTTAATTTGTGCAAACTGTTGAAACCATGCATCCTTTTCCATTTCAGTTCACAAATATATACGACTTTGTGTTAGTTTATTTATTTACATACAATCCCAATAAAGGATACTGAAATGTGCGGTTTACAAAATATTGTAAAATATTATGTGGCTATGAAAGCTCTGTTGTGTCAAACCCACCTCTCAAACGTAGAGTGAGGGTCAAAGAGGTCAATTCTGAGAGCGAGGGTGAGTTGGCTGTTATCTGGCACAAGGCAGGTAAAGACACTCATCTGAATAAAAGGGCACATAGTGGGAAAAAATGTGATTTAAAACTAAACGAGAGCAAAAAATATAACTATCATGGGTGCTGAAGTCAGACTGATTATTCTACGGAGAAACATTTACCTGTACACAGTATAAATCAGACACTTTACACATTTTGTGATTCAAAGCTAAATTTAATCTATTATAGGTAGATAACATTTCTTAGTTGTTGTTTTTTTCAACTTAATTATATGTCTGATAAACATAGGAAGCTAAGTGTCTAATTTTCATGGAAAAGAGCTTTATGCAGAGAAATGTTACATAAGAAGATGAACAGTATTGTTTGTTGTGCTAAAAGAAATTGCTTGATTTTCATATATTTTCCATCATGATTTGATCAATTAAGAAGAAAAAAAAGCCTGTACTAACCTGCAGTCTGGGTTTGGCAGCCAGGTAGGAAGTAATGCAGGGCTCTCCCTTGCCTCCATAGCAGGGTTTGGTGTTAAGGAAGCCGTACAGCAGCCAGGCGGTGTGCAGCATATACACCACGAACACTCCCAGCAGCAGCTTAGCGACGGAGCTCCTCTTGCCTCCGCTGTCTGCAGGTTTGGAGTAACAGGATGGGAACATAGTGGAAACAATGGTATTTGACACCAAGAGAAAAAAGGGCGCAAAGTGTCACGGCGTCAAAAGACACAATCGGCACGACTTCCTCCCGACTCGCAGCATCCTTCCGGTCAGGTCTGCATCCAGCTGACCTGGGGATGCTGATGCTTCGCGCCTGCGCACACGCTCCTTTAACAATTCGAATTTGAGAGAAACGCTCGTAAATACACTAAATAAATTTGTCAATTTGATTCATGCGACATTTTTCCCACTCGGATGTAGCTAACCTTTGTTTCTTCTGCACATACTTTTTGTTTGAAACACAGCTCACATGTGAACAACTTTGAGGCTAAACCTAAGCCTAATTGAGACACGAATCACTATACAATTATTTAGACGTAGGTAATTCGTTAAAATCAAGTAAAACTGTATGTACTCTTAAAAAAATGTGGTTTATGTGAGTGCTGACAGTGGTAAATATCACTATGACATAGCGTAGATTCACTGTAATGACTAATGGAAACAAACTGAATCATTTGTTCCACTAAAATAGTACATGTTCATTTTATTTTTGAGCAGGTAAGCTTAAAAGAAGTGTACTTATTGTATTTGCGCTTCTTACATTTTTAAAATATTACATTGATCATTTTGCCCCGCGTGACACAAAGTTTGAACCCTACTGATCTAAATTATCGTCTTTAACTCACACCAATTAAATTATTATTTCTTCAAGTATGAGATATAATATTTGATTTTAAACGAAATAAGCTAAAACCTCAGTAATAGTGACTACAGAGTGATTGTCTTCAGCAGAGACGATCTTTGCACCACAATGCACTCCGCGGTGCATTGTGGAGCATGTTGTGGAGGGTGCTCTTGCTCCTGTCCTCCGGTCCTGCTAGCTTGGAGGAGGGGTTGTTTTCTCGGAGAAGCAGCCTCAAGTTTTCAGTCAGGAGAGCCGATAGTTAGCGGCATGTGTCCAGCTTATCTTCCTGGAGGTTTAGTTTTTTCTCAGAACGGACAAAACGTACATACGAAGAGTTAGCCGGTACAAGCGGAAGTCCAGAGCACATTGTGAAAACATTGAGAGGAAGGTTAACCAGTTCAACAGGTACAGAGAGACTGCTGAAAAGTACATTAACTGAGTTTAATCTAAAGTTATTGCTACGACCGTCCTCTCTTGTTGCTGCCCGCGAGCCTGTAGGCTCATACGAGTTTGGACAACTCGGGAGATGACTCAAGTATTTTCATTACTCTTTTTTTATGGAGGCTGATGCTGCCATGTGTGTATTTCTCCAGTAACATTTTTCAGACTCCTTCAGTCTGTGTTTGGCTGTGATGGAGGTAAAGTTGCACCGACTGCTACTGTTTGCTGGCTGCATGAACTCTTCCAGGATGTCATCTGTTAGAAAACGAGTTTTCAGCTCCTTCTGCTCACCATTTGGTGGGAGTCAAACTCTGATCCTCTTCAATGGACCCACAGTCACACACCAGCTGAGGCAAGCTGGTAGTAGAAAGGCGAGCTTGCTCAGCAGGAGCTACGGGGATATTGGCTGTAATTCCACGTGTTATCAGAGGCCAGTGTTATTAAGAAGTCTCCATAGGAGGTGTCAGTCTACTGGGCTCACGAAGGACATCCTGCTGCGAGGAGGAGCGGCCTGGCCTGGTAAGATTTGCACAGATTAGCTTAAATCACTTTAGTTACAGGTAACTGCAACACCTTAGACATAACCTCTGTTATGTCTAAGGTATCCTATAGCTGGTATTGGCTTAAAAACGTTTTGTTTGTAGATCTTAGAATTTTTTTTTCATATGTTGTTTAGAATTTCATTTGCTCTTTTACCTTTTGTCCATTCAGGTTTCCAACTTTATTTTGTGAGTTGAAAATAAAGAAAAGTGAGCTACACGTGGACAAACAGAAAAGGTGTCAGGCTTTATGGAACTACTTACAACAGACTGTCTGATGGTTATGTATTTGAGGAAAAACATAAATAAATTCAGAGTTGATCCTCTCATATATGGCTGGTTTTCAACTTGTAGTTCTTCAGGATTTACCTCGTTGTAGCTAGCATGCCATGTGTCTGCCAAACTGTGCTATGTTTGGGGGTTTCATGGATACAACTGAAGAGATGGAAACAATTGGGTCTTTGTGACAGATTGGTGTTGACAACTTTTCCTATTTATTGTCAACACCACTGGAAAAATGTGACGTTATTAACCACAACAACAAGTATTCCACACATATGCATGCAATTAGCTTTGCGTTTGCTGTTGGATTACATAACCCAAATTGTTTAGTTGAAGAAGGAGGCGCAGATAAGAATGATGAAAAGACAAAGCTTCACAATCGTTTGTCGGTGAATGATTTGCTCTGGGTCACTTTACCTCTTCACCAGATTCTACCCCTGTTTTTTACCCAGCTGTTGCCTTTTTACACCTGTTAGTGTGGTATTTTATGCCCATATGTTCCTAACATAGCATAATCAATTTATTTTGTCTTGTTAGTTATGTACTTTGATGTATTGTGGAGATTGATAATCATAAAATCTGTATATGTAGTAATATGTGGTATTGTATTTTAACCTATTTTTACATTTATTATAAGTCTGATTCTCATGTTTACCTGCAGGTACTTATTATGCAGACCTAAGCCACTCTGAGAGACATCCTGTTGGTTACTAGTTTAATAGTCATTTATTGGAGAGGCATAACCACATTTGTATACAGCAGACTTTAAGTTGACTATAAAAACATTTTAAAGTTATCAAAGTGAGTATGAACTGATTCATGGTGGGTCCAGGATGTCCTGAGACAGAAAAGTCCTTTATAAAATGAACAGCACCCAGTATGTCGCCAGTATTTCAACATTTTAGTCAGTCAAGAAAAAGATTTAATTCTTCTTTGTTTTGAAGGTACGGACTGATGTGACAAAATGTGATGCTATTTAGATTCTGTTTGTCAAAAAGGTCATATTTTGTTACTGCCGTGATTGAAAAGGCATCAGGACATTGTTGCATATTTATAGCCAAAGAATGAAAAAAGTGTTGTCTTTAAAGTGTAGTTGTGTTTTGCTTTTCTTTTACCAGTGTCCGCTGTGCGCAGCCGCGTGACTGATGCCCCTCTGTCCACTGTGTCTCCGACTTTCAATGTGGTGAGATAATCGACTCCGAAGAGTTGTGTAACTGGTATTACTGCTGTTGCTTATGTTTTCACTGGTAAACTTGATATTATGACGCTTTAAAACAAAACTCTCAGACTATTGGATTTCATAGATATCAGACTTACAGAAGACCTTGAAGTTTCTTACGTTCAGTGGTGAAATGGATTTAAATGTCTGTTTACATCCAGGCTGCTGAATGTCATTAAAGAGTTTTATGTCCCATTTATTTAACAGATGAAGTTTGATCTGGAGGGAAATGTGACATCGTTTGGTAAGTGTAAGAAAATCTCAGCAACCAAGACTGATGATTGGTTCATAGATTTGTATCATTCATATGTCATTTAAATATACCAGCTGTATAAACTTCTTACGCCAGAAACACAAATCATACATACCTCTGAACTTTTTTTTGTGTGTTTCATTACCGCAAACTTCTACATGTTTTATTTATTGGGGTTTTGTGTGATAGATCAACACAAAATAGTGTGTAGTTGTAAGTTGGAAGGAAAATTAGTCAACACCATATAGAGCCACCTGTCATTACAGTGTTTTTGGACATTCTCCTTTACAAAAGAGCTAAAGGTCAGTCAGATTATTTGGAGAACTCCTGGGAGCTGCAGGTTCTACATTTTCATTCAAAGACATGAATACTCTTTGGTTGTTAACATTTCTATTGTAGCTTTGGCTGTACATTTCAGTCAGCTGGGACAGCATAATGCTGCCATCATTGTGTTTCACAATAATGACGATGATGTATTTCATTTTCAGTGCTGTCCAAAATCTCAAATATTGGTCTTATGTGGGTAGATCTGCTCCATATTCTCCTGTCAGGATGTCCTGTGGCAGAAAGCTTCTTTATAAAATAACCAGTTTCTTACAATGTTTTATAAGAAACTAGATTTTAGTTTATTTGAGTATATTTGCATTTGTACACTTATTACTTGATATTAAATGGAACCACACAAACCCTTCTTTTTTCCTCATTTGCTCTACTTTGTGTTTATCTCCATGTAAAATCCCAACATGTGAACCAGTTTACAAAGCATAAAAATGTTGCTAAAAGGCATAAAATGTTGATAACAGACATTTCTCCTGTGATGCCTTTTTATTTTCCAGAAAAGAAGAAGACAGAACTTTGCCAGGAGCTTCAGCTTCAGGCCAGAGACCTTCGCTTCCAACACAGCACCAGCCTCAGCACCAGAAACAACTGCATCATCATACGGATGGGCGTACGTTCTCTTCCTTATTTCTTGACATTCTCTTTCTAATCACGTTCATCAGAAAACAGAAAAATAAATTAGAGATACTGTAAATAGACTTATTAGTGTTGGGCTGTCCAAACAGGCACAGTGTGACAGATAAACATCAAGAGCGATGGTTGATCAACACTCCTTAGCTCGAGCAACAGCAAACTGTCCACTAGAGGGCAGGATTGAGAAGAAGAAGTAGCAAAGGTCCTCAGCGGTCCTCATTTTACAGAGTCTTCCCTGAAGCTCATCTTTTGTCTCAACAATTTCAACATTGAGGTGGGCACACTGTCTGTCGCAGCTGGGGGAAAAAAACAGATTCAAGTTATTTAAATATGATCCAAACTAACATCTCAGTAAGAAGCTGGTTCTACTCTTCCATACAGAGGTGCACACAAAACATTTCATACCATTGAGGTGGTTTAAGATAAATATCTGTTCTCACGTGTCCTTTTTTGCTCCGGTTCGAAACGCTCGGCACTCCATACACGCAGCATGATCCTGACAAACCCACGCAATCAGGGCAGTCCTCGCAGGTCGCACCGACATACGGAGGTATACAATGACACTTTCCGCATTCACACACCCCTCTGCCGTTGCACAGCATTTGGTTTTTGGCCATACAGGAAGCGGTTTCCATGGAGCAGCTGCAGGCACTGCCGATCCACTCACTGTTACACACGCACCTCCCACACTCACACCTCCCATTACCTCCGCAGAGTCTGGTAAATAGAAATGTTTTGACGTCAGTGCTGTTT